TATTTACAATATCTCGTACTGTCAACGGGGGGATATAAACTCTCGAATGTAGGTTATAGTATCGTTCACGTTGAACACGATGCAAGCGTCCGGGACGGGCGGCCCGTGTCACGCATTCACACGCACGCACGCACGCACGCACGCACGTACGTACGCGCACGCACTCACTCAAACACACACACACACACAACACACGCGCGCACACAGCTATCGCGCCCTCTTCTTGGCCGGCGCCACCGTTGTCGCCGAACGTCGTGCTCTCTTTCACTGAAACACAAAACAAAGGTTTTAATTACCTACCCTAATTACGGTAACATTAAAATCGCACATACATACAGGGTGTAACAAAAATCCTGTACTATCCTATCGACGAGAAAATTCTTTCGACGCCCTCGCTTACTTTTTACGTAAGTATTACAAAGAAGATTACGCAAAAGCACGACCGATAATTGTATCTAAAATAAGACCTTAATACATAAACAATGAATATTAAGTCAATATATTATAGTGTTTTGCTTCGTTTTCGGCTAATCGTTGGGACGTAATTAAGACTACTTTAAGGTTTAATTTCGCATGTTTTTTTGAATACTCATCATGTTAATTCCTTCGCATCCAATAGTTTACGTGTTCACGGACAACTCAGAAATAATATAACGAATAAGAAACGTGAAATGAAATCGATAAACCAACGAAAAAGAATAAGGAATGAAGAATTAGCAAATCTTCCAAATTAGAGGATAGGGATTGCTGTCGAACAACAATAAGGATCACAAAAAGGATTCGCAAAAGAGAAATATAACGAGATCGAAGACGGGCGAATTTCCCCCCAACCCCCCTTTCTCTAATCCCCTTACAAAAACACATCAAGCATCGTACCGAAGCGACTAGCCGATTTTGGATCGCACAGGACTTTTATCACGTTCTCTCTGTGTAACATATTATTATCTACAAGATACTGACACTAATTTTATCAATGAGATAAGGAATACTATATGGTATTTTATTAGATTTAAATCAAACTTGAAAATTATGAAGGATGTCGACGAAATTATCGGGAAAATGTATGTTACGTATTAACCCTTTGAGTGCAAACCGTCGATAGATCGACTCTGTATTAATGCGTATAAAGTACGGAGCGTCGGAATACCGACTATTGCGCTGATTGCGACATGTATCGACCTGTACGGACGTGTCTTTATAAATAAGCATTTCAAATTATTTTTCTGTGAATTAAACATTGATTTTGTATTTTTTTAAGAGTTAAACTCATTATAAAATATGTGAAAATAAAAGCTCAGCACTAAAAGGGTTAATACTGTTGTATACAATGCTCCAAACGAACCCAATGAGTGAATGAACGAAGCACTAGTTCGCCGCGCTTGTCTATGCTACATGATCAATCTAAACGATTATCCACACGACTGTACACGGTTAGCGTACGTACGGTTTAATTTTTCTCAAAACTAAATTACTCATATCCGTTTAAATACTATTTAATATATTCATAATTTATACTTCTATTTGTACTCGGTAAATACGTTGCAAAAATTTGGATGTACCTTTTTTTATTGCTTATATGGGCGGACGAGCTCACAGCCTACCTGGTGTTAAGTGGTTACTGGAGCTCATAGACATATACAACGTATAACCCACCTTGAGATATCAGTTCTAAGGTCTCAGTATAGTTACAACGGCTGCCCCGCCCTTCAAGCCGAAACGCATTACTGCTTCACGGCAGGAATTGGCAGGGCGGTGGTACCCGCGCGGACTCACAAGAGGTCCTACCACCAGTTAAAAAAACCTATTCATTATTTCAAATACTATTTACTTGTTTTCATATGAAACACTACATTACACTGTAATCAAATTCGTTATGAACTCTATTTAGTTCTAATAAATAAAGTCAAATAAATAAAAACATTACCCGTTATCTTCGAAGCCAATTGAAATGAAATAAAGGAATTTCGTTTTTTTTTTCAATTATTATTAATATTAATAGTATAATTATTTAGAAGAGACCTCATTCGAACAACTCTACTACACATTGTATTTTTTTTAATACATTTACCTACACAGTATTTTTTTGTAATTACAAACATTAAGGAACTCTTAATTTTCTTTAAACGTCAATCTAATTAAAAATAATAAATTTCATAAATAAATAAATAAAACCGAAACAACAATTATTTTACAATTAACTTGTAAATATAGTTCTTATAGTTCTGTATCGAGACACGCGGTACGAAAACTAAAGATCGCGTACTTTAATTGTGTCATAAAGGTTTTATTACAAAAAATCGACTGTTCATTTTTCTATTCATAGCTCTATCCACCGACTAGTTTTCCGAAAACGCAATCAAATGAAGCAATTTTCCTTTTAATCAATATAATACGAAACATTAAAAACACTCCCACAAATTTCATTAATAAAAAAATAATAACATATCTATTATTTACAAGACTAAAATTCGAATTCTAAATTTTCTTTTCAACTACCCTCAAAAAAATTTTTCTTTATTTTTTTCTACTTTTTACATATTTTTATTTCTATAGATTAGATAACGTTAAGTTGCATTGATTTTTTTCTTCATTTGGGCCACGGATACTTGTCCTTTAACGGTATGCTTATTGACGGTGGAATCGTTGGTGGCATGTACGGATTTCACCTAAAAGACAAAAAATGGGGGCGTGTTAGGGGGTGAGTTAGAAAAAATTTAGGAAGTATAAATTGATGTACAGAGGATGTCGCTAACAGTAACTTCGGAGAATTAAAAAAGGATTTACTAACAAAAAAAAAATAAGGAAAGCCAATCGTGATAAGTGTTTTTTAAGTGATCTAAAAGTACTTAAATTGTAATAATTAACGATAATAAAAAAAACCTACGCTTAAAAGAAATAATCCGAAATTTTATAACTCCTATCTCAAATAAACAATCAGGTCGATATTTTGAAACAGCTATGTATGTCTCGAGTGGATGATTCACATTCCCGCTTAAGACGTTGCTGAAAGGCGGGGGGTTGGGGGCGGGGATCTCGCTCGCACCGCTTCCCTGGTAATGTCGATTGTACAGACAGCAAATGCCATCCCGGGTTGAAGTAGCAGTGCGGGCACAGAGCAAGGGACTAGTGGATGATTATTGATAAAAAGTCCGAGTTTAACTAACTTTAATCCACACAATCTGTACAAATGTTCTATGTTATCTATATATATAAAAATGAATTGCTGTTCGTTAGTCTTGCTAAAACTCGAGAAAGGCTGGACCGATTTGGCTAATTTTGGTCTTGAATTACTTATGAGACGTCCAGAGAAGGTTTAAAAGGTAGATAAATATGAAAATGCGGAATTAAATAAAAATAACAATTTTGTTTTCCCTCTGATGTGTCCCCCGTCGGACGGATTCGTTTTGTTTGTTTATTTTATACAAAAGTTTAGGTCTTTTATTTATCGATTGAGGCACTACGAAGTCTGCCGGGTCAGCTAGTAAATATTAAATTTTACGGCCGCGAGGACTGCACCCGACTTCCGCGGTAACAGGTTTTTGAACGACTATTATTCCTGTTCGAGTTTAGTTTTAAACAAACGCGCTGTTTGCATTATTGGTTGCTAACATTTGGAACTGGTCGCACAGAGACAGAAATCCACGAACGCTCTTTGATTTTAAATGAGCGTTTAGGACCTGCTGTATGTGGTAGTCAACCATTGGTCGTTTATACAGGGTGTATTATTGGCGTTTTCGAAAACGTTACGGGAATTAAAAGCGGTCTTAAATACAACTGAAAACGTCCTTCGTTTAGTAAACACAATCATTTTAGTTGTATATTTTGGAAACACGGACTTGAACGCTAAGATAGGTGGCAGCCGCCTCCACGTTTCTTCGAAGCAAACGACCTTATCATCAATTTATATTTCATTGTTATTACATATAGAGTGCAACACAAAAAACGTTATTTATATAAAAAAAATAGTGATTATCTAAACGCTATCACTTCTTCGTTTTTAATAACAAAGGTAGACACCCTGTATTTTGATTTTTTTTTAAATATAATAATAACGATGTCACGCGATTTCATAAGCGCTTTAAAATTGTATTTTTTTTTTGTTTTATCAACCAATTTAAATGACAAACTCTATATTAGCCAATATGTGTCCCTAACAATCAATGAAAACCATCTCCAACTCAATTCAGATATAATACCGTGCATTCAATTCAATGTAAAGATGAAAATTGTTAATAATTTGATTGGAAATTAATAGTTATGCTGATGGTTAGATTAGTAGTAGCGTTGTTGAGCACTGGCTGCGGCTGTGAGTAGCGCGAAATTGCATTCAAGTTATACTTTTTGTAACACCCTGTATGTTCACACTCGTGCGTTCATACGCACAATGCGTGCACAAAGTGAGTCTTATCATATTGTACAGAGTGTAAGGGAACCGCTGCTGAAGTCGAAACTGATCGAAGCGTATTTAAATTAGATCGCGGCATAATGAAAAAAAAAAAAATAGATTTGTTGCACGAAGCATAAATCTCGTATAAATATAGTGAGAAATCAATCATTCAATAACACACGGCGGATTGCACGCTCAAGCGAGTTCGTTGACCTCGCGCATCAGCTGATTCTTGAGTTTTATGCGATCGTATCTCGCATAAATATAGTGAAAAATCGCATACAATTACAAACGGCGGATATTGCACGCGCGAGCGAGTTCGTTGACCTCGCATATCAGCTGATCCTTGAGTTTTATGCGCTCGTGCAACAAATAATAATATTAATCATCTTCACGAGCAGTTCCCGCACACCGTGTAGCGGTCAATGCGTCACCTCTGGACGTGGCGGCGGCTGCGGGCGCGGCGCGACGTGACGTTGCAGTCAAGGGGTTTTTGTAACGCCCTGTATATATATTATATTACACTCATACATTCAAGCGCGTACACAATCCAACGTAAGCATTTCAACGTGCCGCGACCTGACTTTTATATTATTGCTGATGTCCATGAACAACGGTGACTATTTATAACAAGTGAGCCGTGTGCTCGTCAGACTATAATTGTCATATAAAAGTATCGCGTTACTCACTTTGAGTGTTGCCAAGAGGTGTCTGATCATCAAACAATTAAAAAATCAATGTGGAGCATATTGCTATTTCATTAAATTAAATTCATATTTTAGGTTAACACTAAACCTACCGACAGTCATTGTGCATCATTCCTACGGTGCTTAGTTAAATTGACCGATAATTAAAAGACTTTGAAATTTTATTATTCAATGCATATATTATTATGTAGTTAATTTTTTTTGCATAATTATACGTAAAGAATGAAAAAAATGTCTAATAAGTTTCATATTGTATGCATATTCTAAGATTTATCTTATAGTTTAATAACAGTGTACATTTGTACATGTATAAATTTGGTAAGTTTGTAAACAACCAATTCCAGCAGTAGTGGTCGGTTTAGTGTTAATATATAACTAACTATCGATAGTAATCACATGGTGTCTAGTTGTCGTGTAGTGTGTCGTGTCGTGGCGTGTCTTGTCGTGGCATGTCGTGGCGTGGCGCGGCGGGTGCAGTCACCTCGTTGTTGGGCGGCGGCTGCGGCTGGGGCGCGGCGCGGCGTTGCAGCGAGGGCGAGCGTCGGTCGGCGGCGGCTGCGCTCTCCAGGTGGTGCTTACGCTGACGCAGGATTGTCCAGTCGAACGTGTAGTCGTACTGATAGTTCATCGTACGGAACAGAATCCGGAACAACTGCAAACAAACGCATGAAGTTGAGCTTCCTCGTGCAGACCTCAATCGCTTGGTTGCATACACAACTCATTGACGTCAATCGGCATTTCGTCGTTGTCAAACCAAAATCTGCTATGTGCACTTTTTGAGATTTTTACTTTTTGACCTTTTCGTATAGTTCACAGCCCTATCTACTGTATAAAAAAAACTGTTATGTGTCTATAGCTTTAATATTTATCTATAGCTTTCATTTCATATAGTTCTTGAAAATTCACCTTCATATAAAAAAAAATACAAAAGTGTTTTTACTTGTTAATTAAAAATAGTTTTTGCACATAGCAGATTTTGGTTTGACAGCAACGATTTGCAGACTTTTATTAAGATTCTGGACATAAGACGCGGTCTGTGATAAGATTTAAACTGTCTATGAGATCTCTGACTGTAGGTCCCCCTCACTAGGGTATTATGATACCAGAAGATATTTTCGGCACAGAAGAGCATCTACATAAGGTGAACTTTGCTAAAGACGCCACCTGCCAATTCTACATAGAGGATGTGGAAACTGTTGTGTGTGTGATAGTAGTGGGGGAATTTTGCTGCTTATGGGGCAGTAATCGCACAGTATGTTTAAATATTTATTTCTCTTCCTTTGATTGGATCAGTGGCAAGTTTCGGTTTGTACATAAAAGCCTACTAGATTATTTCCAAATCGAAAAAATTCAGCTGTTATTTAATTAAAATAAACTTATTTCAGCTCAACTCACCTGCCTAAGATACATGTAGTCAGGGCTCTCGTCGAAGGCGAGGCCGCGGCAGTAGTTGAGAAACATGGCGAACTCGGCCGGGAAGCCCTGTGAGGCAGAGCTGGTCGTGATTATGAGCCCACAGGGGACGCTGCGGTCAAACCGGACGTATACTCATACGTCTCAATACAATAATAATAAACTTAAATACTTAATTCAATGAATATTACTGGCCGTAGTGGTAGTCACATTTTGAAAACATTTTATTATTTAACCCTGTATGTTTGTTTGTTACGGAATCATTGAACGTAATTTTCATAGACTAAAAACGTTCGATCAATTTGACAATTTACACTCGCAACAAAGACTTTAAGACAGACCAAAAAAATAATTAATTGTTAGTTTCTTTTCGTTTAGTTTTTAAACTACATATATAATTATTAATACCCAGATTTAGACGTTGTTCGCGGGCAAAAGCTTTAGCGTGTTCGTGGCCCCTGGACAACACAACACGTTTATTGCCAACAAGATGCGACATGAGGTCGAAGTCGCCTTATTACATTTACGGATATCCGAAATCAAAAAGCCTCAGTACTGGCCGACAAAAACGAGCCGAGTGGTGGTACCGACTCGTGCGGACACAGGATTAAACTAAATCTTTATGAGTTTATATAACTCTACTGCTGTCCGTAGGCAGGTTTGCGGCCCACCTGACGGTGAGCCGGCATGCGCCATGCGTGGCGGACGTGTGTCCGATCTCACCTTACACAGAACTTCAACGGGAGTGGACATTTTCTTTTCGCTGATGCGTTCGTACTTCTGCTTTTTCGTGATCGCCTTCAGACCTTGCCAAGGCAGAGCTCCTCTGTTCCGCCAATGAACAAAGAATACAAAAAACATTAAAACCTTAGTACAACTTCAAAGGATTCTCAAATACGGATCTGTATAATTTATGATTTGTGTAGGTACATTACGTTTTTTTTTGCTACTGAGGAGACAATCCTACGTCCCACCTGACGGTGAGTGACTAACGTCCGTCATGGGTGCCATCAATGCCAGGGTCACAGCCAAACAGCTGCCTACTGACATTATACAGACATTATTTTACTATTCAAAGTGATTATTAGGTCGTTACGTTAACTTCATTAGGCTGAACTGATCATGAAATTTGTCAGAGTCATTACAGGTAGCACAGATAGTAACCGTCAGAAAAATGGAATCTAGTGTTTTTTTATAAAGGTTTTATGGCCTGGCAACATGACCTTTTAAGACTGACTTTTGCTGCCAAAATGAGATGAAGTTGATTAATTTGAGACATTAATTAATTGGGATGAGATTAAATTAAACGAGATGAGATTGTGTGAATATAGTGTCAGTAAAATGGTAGTTATTTACTGAGACTCTTTCGGTGGACTTTTTGGCAGAACCGAAAATCTGTGTCTAGCGGCTTGGTTTACTTTTTCAAATTTATTTATTTTTACAGATTAGACATTAAAAACCTGAAGAAACACTAAATTAACAAAATAAAACAATTCACACAACTTCGATCTTCGGGTTCCCGCCAAAAATTCCACTAAACTGTTCATAATTCACTGTCAGACATACATAAAACCATCAAAATATTCAATCTTCCTGGAATATTTATAAAAAAAATACATTTGACACTACTTTCATCTTCCAGTGTTTTTTCTTCTGATAAAATAATATTTGCTCTATCTTCATTTATATGAATAATGATTTTGATAATTTTCCAATCCTTATATTATAAAATATATTTTGTCGAGAAAATATCACATGCTCTAATCGAGAGAATCCAACGGTTAGTCCAATGGGATTCAATGATCAACTACTTTCGTCTCCATCATCTCTAGTACGGGATTCAATATAAATTACTTTTTTTTATAGAACAAGGATACATCATAGGTACTTATTGCGACATTTAAAAAAGTATCTACCAAAAGATTAAAAAATTTTTACATGACAATTTGGACTTTCCAAATACTATTCAGTTCTAGTGCATAGAAGTCTATTTGTTTAAATAACTGGTATAATAACCGGCAAACTTCTTGAGCATTTGTTGACGTAGTGGGGGTAAGTTTGCGCATGGTACACTCACGTGCAAAAACATTACTTACTCTGCGTCATAATGCTATTAAATTATTAAAATCAACATATGTATTTATTTATATATTTATTAGAACATCAACAAAACATATAGGTTAATAATTGTAATAATTTAATCTTGGGGTAAAATAGATATTCCTTCTATTAAGTCAAAACTAGAGCTGTTGCCAGGTCTTGGTTCAGTTAAAGCGAAGCTGGTATTTGTAATTTTTTTTTCGTTATCATAATCTTGACCATCATCATCATCACTGTTTTCATCACCCGAGTCGCTATCATCGTGATGAGTCGACATAGGGCTCATCGGCGTAGTTTACAACTCGGTCGATTCGGTCTTCTTTTTTGTCTATAATTAATTATTTTTTGAAGATATTCGATTCGTAGTAATCGAATGTTACTTTTTTCATTTACCAGCTTCCGATTATTTTCTGTTCTTTTTTTCCATCTGAAGCCTAGCTCTTTCATAATTCGTCGTAAGCTTCATTCCGAGCCATTAAAATTTATATCTTCTTTAAATTTTTCGAAGCCTTTCTACGGTACGGAGTTTCGCTGCTTGTTATGTAGTTATTATGATTACATCTTTTTATTACAGATTGAACGAAACTATCCATTCCGGTAACTTTCTTCTTCCCTGATCTTTTCTTACCCGGAGTCCGAAACACGGCGAGCAAGCCAGAGCCTTTAGCTTCGTTAATAATGCACCTAACAGTACTCACTGATGTTTTTGTTGCTTCCGAAGTCTGTTTTAATTTTTCCATATCATTCTTCCCCTGTTTTATAATGAAGCAATATACGTCGTACACAAATTTTCTACCCTTTCTTTTAAGTACTACACCAGTTTGTCACGGCATAGTGTATGTTTTATAAAAAATCAACAAACACTCAACAAATAGCAATGGCAACAAAGTCCACAAGCAATTATAACAAATAACTTAACGATTAATAACGATAGACTTTCCACTGTACGCAAGCGTACTTTTGGGAGCAAGCGGAATGAGGGCGCGGTGCGGGACGCAAGGTTCGACTGATCTACCAATAAAGCGCTCGATACGATTTCCCCTGCCGTCGCGCCTCACCCTCACCACCAAAGTGACCTAAAATTCGGTTCTGCGCAGTCAAGGTCATTTGCTCAAGAAGTTTGCCGATTACTATATAAGGATACGGCATCGAGACTAATAAAGAAACAAAAAAATACACAAATTATGTGAAAATGTGAAAAATCCCAAACCATGAAGGTTCTATATCAATTCGAAGTACCTATTAGAATAAAAAGGCAATTTCATACTTTAAACCCTAATACTATTTATTATGTATGTACATTCCCATACATTTTCCCCAACATGTGTAAAGTTATTTCTGTAAATAATTTTCCTCTTGTATGCATTACAGCTATTCCACATTTGTTGAGGGAAACACAAATAAGTTTAAATGGAAATTCCACACTCATATAGTACGATACTATTTTTATCAGATTTTCAGTCATATATTTTTTTTGTTTAGATGGGTGAACAATCTCACAGCCCACCTGATTTTAAGTGGTTACTGGAGCCCATACACATCTACAACGTAAATGCGCCACCCACCTTGAGATATAAGTTCTAAGGTCTCAAGTATAGTTACAACAGCTGCCCCACCCTTCAAATCGAAATGCATTACTGCTTCACGGCAGAAATAGGCAGGGTGTTGGTACCTACCCGCGCAGACAAGAGGTCCTACCACCAGTAATTACCCAAATTATAATATCGCGGGTTTGATTTTTATTACACGATTTTACTCCTTCACCGTGGAAATCAATCGTGAACATTTGTTGAGTACGTATTTCATTATAAAAATTGGTACCCGCCTGCGGGATTCGACCACCGGTGCATCGCTACACACGAATGCACCGGACGTCTTATCCGTTAGGCCACGACGACTTCAATATAAAAACTGCACAACTAATTTTTTTTCCACTCTAAGTTATCTTTTATTTCACTGGTCCTGGACTGTATGTGTGCGGTGTGCGTGATGACAGTTGAAGGACCGACCTGTTGAAGTACATGAGCACGTATCCGAGGGACTCCATGTCGTCCCGGCGCGATTGCTCTATGCCGAGGTGGGCGTTGATGGAGGCGTAGCGCGCCGTGCCTGCAACAGAGCCGTCGCTGAGTCACGTTGTCAACTCTATACACATCGATGGATGAAAGGCTGTTTTGTTTAAGCGACATTCATCTTTGTAATTCAAGGTGAGTTTTATTTGGGATCGTTAAATTGGGGGGAATCGGGACACTTTTTAATACGCTTTTATCAGCTTCAGGCGTATGTATGTTAGTATGTAACGGAATCTTTGAACATGATTTTTACCCCCTTCAAAACGTCGGATTAACTCGAAATTTGGTATACTTATTAAGGACCGATGACAATTCAATATTAAAAAATATATTTAAAAAATTGAAATTCAACTAAAAAATAGAAAATAAATCGTAATAAATGTGAATTAAAAAAAAGTGTAAGAAAAAAATATTTTATTGTAAAAAAGCGTGGGGTGCATGGTATCAGTAGTTATAAATATCTTATGAACAGATATGAGTAGAAGGGTTATTTTGATAATATCCTGAAAAGCACCCCATCCTTTTTTTATAATAAAATAATTTGTTCTTACACTATTTTAATTCAAATTGATTAAGATTTTGTTGGATTTTCTATAAAAACGTATTTTGTTAGTTTTTTTAAACTATTATTTATTAAGTTCGACATTGATTTTTATCGTTGTGGGTGGACGAATTCAAAGCCCACCTGGTGTTAAGTGGTTACTGGAGCCCATAGACATCAACAACGTAGATGCCCCCACCCACCTTAAGACACGAGTTGTAAGGGCTCACTTTTAACAGTACAACGGCTGCCCCGCTCTTCAAACCGAAACGCATTACTGCTTCACGGCAGAAATAGGCAGAACGGTGGTATCTACCCGTGCGGGCTCACAAGACGTCCTACCACCAGTAGAACTATCGTTGATTTCAATTTGTTCTAAATACTCTAATGTTTAAGAAAGAGAGACAGACCTGTAAGATTTTTGTCTTCGCGGTAAGAGATGTGAGCCCGGGTGCGAAGGTCTCTGTATTTCTTCGCGAGTCCAAAGTCGATCATGTACAGCTTGTTGCAGTGCCGGCCGATGCCCATTAGGAAGTTGTCCGGCTTGATGTCGCGGTGGATGAAGCACTTGCAGTGGAGGAACTCGACGCGATTCAGCATTTGATCTAAAAATAAGAGATCCTCACATTAGCATAACATGCAATCACATTTTTTTTTATTGCTTCGTTGGGTTGACGAGTGTTTACTGGAGCCCATAGACATTTACAAAGTAAATGCGCCACCCACCTTGAGATATAAGTTCTAAGGTCTCAGTATAGTTACACATAAATACATAAATATCACATAAATATATTAACACGTCAAGCAAAAAGTTTGTATTCATTTTTCACAAGAATTGCGAGGATGGAGGTATTATGAAATTTTCTAAACTTATAGAGAATATAGAGAGAGTGCAGAATGCTAATATATTTTCAAAATTAAGCATAAAAAATACATTAAATCAACAAGAAAAACATTGCACACACTACCATGTATTTGGCACCCACACTCATTTATACATTTTTGTTTATTATTAAAGACTGGTCAAATTGAGAATAGATTAATATTCTTTGTCTTTATTTTTATTTGCCTATAATATAACCTTGGCAAAATCTGTGATTATAGAAGTAAAATCTTTAACAATAGAACCATAATAATGTTCAAACTTATAACTTCAATTAATTATAGTGGAATTTCGACTACTGAGCGACCACTGGTATATCTAAATATTCCTAAAATCTCTGATAACTTATAGTTTCCGAGCAATTGCCTCCAAGCAATTGTGATATCAGCCTCATGGCTTCGAGAAGAGCCGGAACATGCGCATTATAATGTACTACTAGTAAACAAATAAATCTATTAACCCTTTTGCTACTATCGGAGAATTTATTCCACAGAACACCACCTATACACTATGGACGACTATAGACAACGGTTGAATATCACAGACTATACACGATGGGCGACTATAGACTCCGGCTGAACAACACCGCCTATACACTGGTGGTAGGACGTCTTGTGAGTCCGCACGGGTAGGTACCACCGCCCTACCTATTTCTGCCGTGAAGCAGTAATGCGTTTCGGTTTGAAGGATGGGGCAGCTGTTGTAACTATAGTGAGACCTTAGAGCTCTTTATCTCAAGGTGGGTGGCTGCATTTACGTTGTAGATGTCTATGGGCTCCGGTAACCACTTAATACACCAGGTCAGCTGTGATCTCGTCCACTCATCTAAACTATAAAAAAAACACGATGTGCGAACTTTCAGTACGGAGCTCCTTTTTCTGTTTTTTTCCAACCCACAGACACAGCCCACTGAATTTCTCGCCGGATCTTCTCAGTGGGTCGCGTTTCCGATCCGGTGGTAGATTCTGCGAAGCACTGCTCTTGCTAGGGCTAGTGTTCGCAACGTCGTCAGGTTTGAGTCCCGTGAGCTCACCTACTAGTTAAGGTTACGCTGATATAGGCTCTCAAGGCTCTCAGCTTAGGTAGCAAAAAAAGGCTTTTTTTATGCGAGTCCTGTCGTAGCGAAAGGGTTAACATCCCCCAACCAAGGATTGGCTTTACAATCCTAGCCTCTCACCTGCAAGCATTAGAACGGTTTTTATCGTGAACTGGCGGGTGCAGAAATTGAAGAGGTCCTCGAGCGAGGGGCCCAGCAGGTCCATGACCAGGATATTGTATTCGCGCTCGTAGCCGTACCATCTGGAAACGAACAAGGACCGATACAGTTATACGGAATACGGACATGAGAGGATTATTTTGTTTTGGAATTCTCCATACAAAATTGAATCGTGGTTTGTTAGATTATCTTGATTTATGATTTTGTTTATTTGAGGTTTGATTTAAGAAGCTTTGAATTGTAAATGCAGTCATAAATCTGTTTTTAATTTCCTCGAACACTTGGGCCATACAGAGGACCCTTTCTTTTGTTTTGAGTGGCTTAATAGCCTACTCTTGCGGAGGTGTATATATACAACTTTTTGTTAGCAAAACATCTGTAATTCTAAGTATGAGAAGAGAAACACAGATCTTATTATGATTTTTTTTTAAGTGACGACTCTTAATTGTAAGAGAGTTAAGCTTAGTTAAATCTAAGGTGATCATATTTTTTCACGATTAACCTATCCATAACTTCCAAAATGGTCACAAAGTAAAGTCAAGTGAAATTATTTAGAGCACGATTGTTTTGATCCTGCTCAGAGATTACCTTAGTCCTCTTCGACAGCGAAACCGTCATCTTCAGGTTTATTAAGAGAACCATTATTTATCTGAAACCTCGAACTCACTTCTAAAGACATGCCTCGATATTCCCACTGAGATCTATGGGCTCTGCATAGTCTTTAATACCAGATAGATCGCGAGCTATGCCGACTATGAAATGAGCCCCCCCTCCACGATGTTTCCCGAGCACTATGACATGTCCTTCTTCAAACGAGGTTTTTGGAGAGTATTAAACGGTAGCTAGCGGCTTGGCTCTGCCCCTGTCATTGCTGAAGTCCATGGGCGACGGTAATCACTCACCATCAGGTGGGCCGTAGGCTCGTCTGCCTACAAGAGCAATAAAAAAAAAGCTTCTTCGCCTAATTGGGCTAATATCTTTATTAGAATTGGATATAAGTAGTATATTATAGTATTACATGATTATGCTAGTCAAAGAGTGCTTATGATTTAACGCTATACGGGGTATCTGGTCATTCTCCAACGTAGCATCAAACACTAAATGTATTTAGGCAAATAAAATTATATTTAATTGATAATTCTCGTGCTTTGCATTATCAATATAATTTGTTCGTAAACCTATAACCAGCATATATCTACACATCGGGAAATGAAAAAAAAAAAAAACCACGACTACACTATGGCATCATATCATTAGGCCATAGAAGTTTAAAAAAAAAAACGAATGATACGAAATGATTTGTTTACGGAAAAAGAATATTATCGAAACTAAATTCGTTTCAATGTATAAATAAAAATTTCAAGGAACACTTTCAGTTGTTTACACGAAAATAAACGGGTATTGAACGCAGATGTGGTGACGTAGGCATTAATTAAATTATACCTAACAATACAACGCAAATACAATTGTTTTCATTCATAATTTTAAGTGGGAAGGTCGATATTATCGCTTATCGATATTATGATTAAAAATTTTGAATGCTCGCGCAGATATAAAGACCTACATCACCTTCTTAAAGATTCTCCATTTGCAACTGTTTCTAATTTTTTAAAAGAGCGCCTTTAATTTTGGCCAATATATTATAATAACATATGTAGTTGAAAATTACCCAATTTGTATTCTTTGTTTTAATTTTCTCCCAAAAATTGGAACTTTCCCAAGGAACATAAAAGATACGACAATCCTAGCAATGACGTACAAAATTAATTTTCAAAACAGTCTCAGTACTCAAATAAATAATAAAAAAAAAAAATGTATTTTCATATTAAGTGGCTTCACGTACAATATACAAGCCAAAAATATTTCAGCGGACACAATTATTATAACATCACGAAAACTCCGATTTCCCATCAACAACTAAAATGAATACTAATAATGACAACAGATATGGGGAAACTGTAACATAATTGCAAAATACTACACTAGATCGTAAATGCAGAAAAAAAAAACTACCCATCATCAATTCAATATTTAAGATCATTATATCTTTACCTTGATACGATTCAGATAATAAAATTGTCAAACTCAATACAGGTTTCAGTGGCCCATTATTTGATGACATATAAAAACATTAACAAAAATTAATGATAATTATAAAGGGTCTATTTAATTTAATTGAGACTATTGTTCATTACAGTACATATGTAATAATAATTATATAAATTAGTCAAAACTAATAATTTTATGTTTAGGTTAAAATATTCAAAACCCATTTGTTCACAATACTTACCTTATGTGTGGTATGCCTACACCCCCTTGGAGCATTTTATACACTCTGCTCTCATAGAGAAGCTGGGGGTGTCGGGCCTTTGTAGATTCGACTTTCACTGCCACCTCCTGCAAGAAAAATATTAACATGTATATCACACAACAAATATAGCACATCACTAAAGAAGTTTTGTTACTCAAAATTTATTTCATAAATGAATAACTCATTCACTATTCACATTAAACACACACAATTTTTATTCCTTTAGATAACATATTTTGGATTCATAGGAATTTATGTTACGATAGATATTCCTTGAATCCAATTGTAATTTATGTCTGATGTTTTAAAGGTGCCTTCAGTATTGATTAATACCGATTGTGTCAACCTAGTAAGAGAAGAATGTCTATGGAAGGTATATTTCGATGAAAGGTCTTTGGAAAAAGGCGTGTGGTACAAAACAATTCAAAGTCTACCATGGAAAACGCCATGGTTTGATTCTTGTAACCTTAATAGAACCACCCTAGTGACTGTTTTCAGACTTCGTTCCGGGCACATCCCACTCAATAAATTTGCTCATTTAATGAGGAAGGCTCCTGATCCCAAATGTTCAGTTTGTGATGTAGTGGAAGACGCTTTTCACATTATGATGGAGTGTGCGCGGAATGATGATTTGAGACAACAATTCTTTGCAAAACATACAGATTTCCGACAAGTTGGAGGTGTAAATTGCGTATTAGCCTTTCCGGAATCCGAAATGGCTAAGTCACTTTATAAAATAGTGTTGGTGGGCCTTCAGAGACGATAACATTTTTTTTTTTATATAATTTTTTGTTACTATCTTTTGTTGCACAATGGAGTGACATATTCACTAAGTGAATAATCTCCTTAAATAAAGATAAAAAAAAAGTATTGATTAATGAGCTTTTGAAGTCATTGTGGCCAAAAGGATAAGACGCCCGGTAGATTAGTATCGATCGATGCGTTTGTGTCGATCTTAAAAGCATGCATGAATGTATCAATTTTCTAATGAAATATTTGTTTAACAGATGTGATAATAATAAAACCCACAAAAAAAAATTTTGTGCAATTATTGGTGGTAGAGTGTCTTATAACCCTGCAAGAGAAGTAAGCACTATCCCGCCTTTTTCACCATGATGCACCAATGACAGATCATTTATAGAGTGGTGCAGTCATCATACTGCAGAACTGAGACTTACAACTCAAAGTGGATGACGTTGTTGATGTCTATGTACTCTGGTATTCATTTAACAACAGGTGGGCTGTGAACTCCTTTGCAAATTTAAGCGTAAGAAAAGCGGTATCTGCGTAACGTCACACCTTGTTACGGTGGACTGAATCTCATTAGAAAAAAAGGTCATATGTATTAGTAGTACAATTGTCAATTTAAGTTATATAAACACAAATCATTAATAAGTGGGTATAGAAGTAGAGAGTAATGTGAGAAGGGGAAGTCTGGGGACCTGCTATACTGACCCCACAGAATGTGAGATGAAGAAGAAACAGAAATTGTTAGTATCTCTAGCCTCTAAAGACACTAAAATTTTCTGAAGCATCAGGATATCTGAACCTACACACATGCAGATCAAATGATATACAGTTCGCTTAAAACACAGAGTAAATAATCTAATTTAGAACTGTAAACTATGACACTATCGATGATACACTGATATAGTGGTTACTATTTCACTACCCGCAAACAAAACAACCATACAACTGCTTATTATGGTTTCCAATTAGGAGAGTAAGACCATTATTATCCTAAAAGATTTAAGGCTTCAACCTCAGTATATGGACTGAAATTATCATTGACCAGTTTGCCTAATAACTTGGGCAGACTAATTTGCCTTTGAGACATAGGGTACATCCCTCAATTGAAAACTATGCACCTACGAGCTTGCCTTGATAGGTAACTATAGTAATTTATATATACAAATATTATTTGTTCTGTTATGAAGGATAGACAATATTTAATTAACATTCCCTGAGCTTCATTGCCCCAAAAAAAGGTTAAAAGGTTTCTTCATATGGGTTCCGAAATATAAACTTACAAGATGTGGAATACATTTATTTTAAACTAAATTGTTAGGTAAGCTTATAACAATCCATTTTCAGGATCCTTGAAATTGGGGTCAATGTCTCTATTGTTTTTTTTAAGTGGTACACATTTTTCTAAATTATGTCCAATCATTATTCTTCGGCCCTTCCTTAATCACCTGGGGTCAGTGTAACATGTTTTCTCCTTCCATACTCCTCTATTATATACCATTTCTTCACTCACTCCTATCTTACACATATAGTCTTTCATGTGATCCATCCATTTTTACTTAGATCTACCTCTTCCTCTAAAAGACTTCAACATTCATAGTTAAAACTCTCTTAACAACCTCACCTAAATTATGTTCAATATATCCCTGAATTTAGCTTTGATTCATAGCTACATGAATAAGCTTAATCTTTTTAATTTTAATATCAAATGTTTCGTTCTTGATTTAGTTTTGAATTGAGTGTCAGTTAATGCAAATAAAACATTTTCTTCTCAATACCTTTGTATCATAACGTTACCATTGGCAACCATATACTTTTACAATGTTAATCATATAATAAACAATCATAAGCAAAAAGAAAAGGACACTGTAAAGCAGCGGGAAACCTAAGAAAATGTGACTTTTTTCTGTAACTCTTACCATTTACTCAATTGTGTTTTTTTATAAATATAAGATTATAGAAATATAATTCTTATTAACAAATTTATAAATCTTTAAATGAAAAGAATTGAATGTGACTTAAACAATTTTGCAAACAAACAAATGCCTTTTTTTCTAGACTTCTTTATATAATATTTCTTACGAAATTTCCCATTAATATGACGAATTACATAACTTTATTGTGCAATTTTAGTTTCTTTTAATATATAATTAGCATTTTTTGTTTATCAATTTCAAATTTTAACAAAGAATGATTAGTTATTATTGATATATAATTCTATATACGGTAATAGGTATAAACGCCTCGATGTATGTAGGTTGAATATATTTGGTAGAGGCATTGTTTCATTCGTAGTGTGGATGTGACCTACACAACACAGGAAATGAAATGTATCTTAATAAAACCAATTTCATACAACCTAGAGGTAAAGTGTTAATGAAATAATGTCTATCTATATGGTTATAATTAATGAGAATATTCGAAATGTGCCATGAACTGATAAAACCATTTCTGGGTTTATTAGATACGTCATCGTAGACAAAACGCGCCTCACCCCCCCTCGCGGTGGGAACAACGCACCCGACCTTAATCCTTTAGATTAACATAAGATATTAATGATGAAAAGGATAGAAATCATAATTACCTCGCCAGTTCCGATGTTGATAGCCAAATATATATCACCGAACGATCCACCACCGATCTTTTTCGACACCTTGTATTTTCCAGAAATCAATACTTCCGAACGAGATCTCCACGGGAACGACATTTTTACGTATTTGATACAAAACAAATGCACAAAGTCAAAATTATGATAATGAAATCACAAATTACGCACAATCCGAATGGAAACAGAGGTAAAATTCTAAACTACATTTCACAAGACAGTGGCTGAATGGAGCACAAAACATGGAGGATGGAGTGCGTTCTGAAATCGTCTAACCTCCGTTTTTACACTTTAATAAAAATAGTGTGCGATTTAAAGACACAAAAAAGTTAAAATATAATTTATTTGTAGTCCATAACTATTGTGTGTAATTATAGACTTTTAATTTCAATATTCTTTGGGTTCTTGATTTATTTCCGTAAAAAAATAATCGTAACACAGCTCTCTCACGGAGTTTCAGAACGCGTAGTGTGCCCAGCGGTAAAAAATATTTTTGTGTAGCAAAAGTTGTACTTTTCGTATGTTAAATTTTTTGTCAAAATCTACTTTGGTTTTATTCTGAAGTTAATGATTTTTTTCAATCTTTAAATTATTTTTGCAATAATAACTCATTGTAAAAGGATTAATCAAATAGGTACTATATTTTTAGAATTTTATAATAATACTCTTACTTATTCTCTGTTGTACTAACATTATTGGTTCGGTATTATTGGTTTTTAAACATCAATGTTTAATTATGTATATCACGATCAGTAGACAATTACTAAGTTTACACTATTTCTTCCTTCAGTCATTAGCGAATAGATAAATATATCATGTTTCCTACGAAATCGGAATAGCTGATTTTCCTAAAATCTGATACTATTTGAGTTGATATCATAATAATGACTAATTTCTGATTGTGAGGTAGAAAAGTCGTACAATAGAATTTAAGACATCTAAGATTTAAGTTCTAGAATTTGAGACGATGTCTATGGTTTTCGTCATTTAACACTAGGTAGGCTATGAGCAAGCCCACCGAACGAGAGCAAAAGTGACGTGCCGCGCGTGACGTCAGAAAGGAGTTTGCAATATTGTAAAAGTTTGCGTTGCATTGCGAAAGTAGGTGACCTAGTGACCTTCATGTTTAGATGAGGAGGTACAGACAATGTCGTACTGAAATCAATTATTACTCAAGAGGACAGAGGACTACAGCGAGGCAATAACGGAAATATATATTTAGTTCCGTAAATATCTCCGTACTCGTTGTTTTTTTTTACTTTAGCGACAGCAACTTAGACCACATCTATTTAAATATTTATACCTAGTTATGATATTTTTGCACGCTCAAAAATAGATGTCTGTATCACTGGAACTAGATTTTAATATCGATCACCATTAAATCTTTTGCGTCAATCATGTTTTTTTTATTACTGTAAATAGGCATCGTGAACACCATTGATCACTTTGATAACGAAGACTCAATATAACACTATAACCGGCTAAGATATCTAACGCTCGCTGGGTGTGTTGATGGTCCCACAAGCATTTGCAAACCACATAAATAATAATATCACTGGGAAGCGTTTTTTTTTATTTTAACTGTGCTACTTTTTTTATTGTCCTTGTAGGCAGACGAGCATACGCATCACCTGATGATGAGTGGTTACCGTCGCCCATGGACTTTAGCAATGCCAGGGGCAGAGCCAAGCCGCTGCCTACCGTCATGTACTCTCCACAAGCCTCGTTTGAAGAAGGATTGTCATAGCGCTCGGGAAACACCGTGGAGGGGAGCTCATCCCAAAGCCGGATGGTACGTAGCAAAAAAGAACTCTGGAAACACTGTGGATGAACGCAGTGGCGCCAGGTAGTATGGATGAACTCTTCTCCGGCGGTGTGATGGTAAAAACGAGATGATGGTATCATCTCAAACAATTGCTCAGAGCAATGTGCTCATTTTACGTCATGGAGAATCAAAACATCGGATATGCGAGGAGCATTAACATGTAGCTATCTTGGACAAAACGATCTCGGACTCCTGAAGCTACATCACACTGTGAATCCGTTCGTAATAGTATAATTCTGCTGCAGAGGTTCGAAATTTTGGGCAATGAATTTCCCAGTCCCATATATATTTATATGTACAAATAATATGCACCTTTTTTTTTAAAACCCACCTGGTGTTAAGTGGTTACTGAAGCCCATAGACATCTACAACGTAAATGCCGCCACCTACATTGAGATATAAGTTCTAAGGTTTCAGTATAAAGCAACGGCTGCCCCACCCTTCAAACCGAAACGCATTACTGCTTCACGGCAAAAATAGGTAGGGTGATGGTACCTACCCGTGCGGACTCACAACAGGTCGTACCACCAGTAACTTGCCAGGAGAGCCATTTATACTTTAAAATTTGATAAAGATATCATAACAAAAAACTTCTTTAGCTATTCGAATGGTGTAAGCTTAATTGAGGTTCAATTAAAAACATTGAACTGTTGATGCCAATACCAAATAACACGCACATTAATTACAAAGATAAATGTCGCGTATTAAGCGAAATATCGCTTAAACCAAGACCCAATCAAGACCAGACTTTCACTGCCGTTTTGTGACGAATTTTGATGTTTTTATTTGTGTGTTTGAGTGACTCTCTGAATGGTTAACTGGCGTTCCAGTCGAATTCTAGGTTTTTTTTCGGGACATGGCGATGCTCGCGGAACCCGACTGATATTTTTTTAATTTTGAGTGCCACTCTGAATATATCTGACCTTGGTATCTATTTTTCTGTGGCAAAACAATCATACGTTGTACACTAGAAAAAAAAACTGAGCGTTCCGGATTGAAGGGCATTGAAGCTATTACACTTACTATGCAATCGAGGCTTCAACATGTGTGCTCTCTCTTCTAGTAAGCAACGAACACGAGATTTAGTTTTTTGTTTTTTTTGTTTTTTTTAGGCAAGGATTCATAGTTAGCCATTCTTGCCGTTTTTTCTTTTATTTTATTAGGATGACATACAACATGTATAAAGATGCATTTAGGATACTGATAGGGCTGCCTCGATTCTGCAACGCATCGGGCATGCTTGCGGAGGCACGTATCGACGATTTCTATGCCATAATAATAAAAAACGATGCGCGTCCTTGCTCTGCAGAGTAGGAGCTAGCTCCAACGGTTTCTTGGCCATGATGTTCTCGAGATTGGACCTTTTCTCAGTCATTGTAGAGAGGTCCCCAAAACGTGCTCGTAATTGTAAGCTATTGTAATTGCAATTTGTATGTATATATGTTGTTCTTTCTTTTGTTTTGTTACTATGTCCTTAATAACATATTTTTAATGAAATCACTGTTACTAACATTAATATGGATTAATATTTTACCACTACATAGTATAAAACAAAGTCGCTTTCTCTGTCCCTATATCCCTATGTAAGCTTAAATCTTTAAAACTACGCAACTGATTTTGATGCGGTTCTTTTAATAGATAGAGTGATTGAAGAGGAAGGTTTATATGTATAATAACATCCATTAAATAGTGGAGAAATCAATAATAAATTACAGTTTTCGAAGCGAAGCGAGGGCGGGTCGCTAGTCTGAAATAAATGCATTTAATAATAATAGTTTAATTAGCTTCTTTGGGTCGTTCGTTAGTTGAGTATGAACATTTCATATTTAAATGTATTATGTAGTTATCACAATATTCTAGGGTTGACAAATAAACTGGAAGTATTCATATCGTCGAAAATATTAAAATGAAATTTTTTACACTTACTGAGACGCGGCATTTGAGCGAACTTTGATCTAAGTGCATACATTCACCTAGATCGGTGTTTCTCAACGTGAGGCCCACGCCCCATAAGGAGGCAATTTGATAATTAAGGGGGGCAATCGCACTAAATGAATATAGAAAATCTTTACTATTAAAATTATTTTTAATTTAAATTTCAGTTTTTTATTATATTGTTTTGAAATATTACTTACTGTGTTTTGATAACAAGTTCATAGTGATTTCTTCCTAAAACGTATCATGTATGTTTCTTAAGTAAACAAACCAATTTTTAATGTTTAAAATTAGGTATGGGGGGCATAAAAATTTTAGAAATGTTACAGTGGGGCAAGGCACAAAGAAATTTGGGAAGCACTGACCTAGATCGTCATCGTCGCTCGTGGATACCAATCGAAAAGGGCACGGTCCAACTTCTGCCTATCTATACACTGAAGACTTCCTTCGAACCTTCTTATGATAATAGTATTATTTAAGATACAATGAAGTAAACTTTATTTTTGCAAGTGTTCAGAGTGAAAACTTACGGCTCATCAAGACCAATTGCTCACTGCAGCCCATGTGAATGCCATCACTTTTTATTAGAGGTTAGTTTAAAAGAAAACGTCAACTGGATTCTTAGTTCTTACGTCGCTGGCTGCAGACAGGAGTATATAAGTACAACCAAGTCAAAGAAACTCACTCATTTTTTTGTCATTTAAAATACCTATTGAATATCTTAATAAGCCCTACCACGGGTTCCTAAGCATCTAGAGCAGGCCTGGGCAAATGGCGGCCTGCGGTAGAATTTTGTCTGGCCCGTGAGGCATTGTATATATTATTATTAGAAACACAAATGTGTTTTGTTAGTTTTTGTCTAACATAAATGCCGGTGGGAGCCAAAATCTTCTTCCTGACATCCGCTCTTTTCAGCGCCTCCTATTCAAAAATATAATTATGATAATTGAGCAATTACAGTATGTATAATAGTCGCACAATTTTATTATTTATTATACTTATTATATCACATTATTGCATGAATAAACAAAATAACTTAAATCTAAAGCCGCCATTTTCTCCTGCGATACGAGGGCGGCACTGAAAATTTCGGGAATTAACGAAGTGACACAACATTACTATTTCAAAATGAATTTATTGCTTTTCGAAGTATTCTCCGCGAAATTTGACACATTTTTCCATACGATGGAACCAATCATTGAAGCAACCATTCCATTCGGAAGTTGGGGTCTCCAAAATGGCCGTTTTGTAGGCGTCCACAGCTTCTTCAGGTGATGAAAATCTCTGTCCACGCAATTTATTCTTTATTTTAGGGAAAGTATAGAAATCATTAGGGCTTAGGTCGGGGCTGTACGGCGGATGGTCTAATAATTCTATGTTTTCTTGCTCTAAAAACTCTTTTGTTCTGTGCGCGGTGTGAGAACTCGCATTGTCTTGATGGAGGATGATGCGGCGGTTGCAGTTCTCTTTACGGAGTTCAGAAACGACCTGTGG